AGAAACTGCGAGAAACGGAGCGCCCAGACCTTATATTGCTTCCAGTGTTGTTCCTTCTGGTGTGAAGAATGTGTTGTAGCACATAACATAATTCGAGAAAATAAAGACCACAGAACGCTAGCACTGAAAGATTTTCAAGATCAAGACATCCAGGCTGTGTTAGAGCGACCAGCATTTTGTCAGAAGAAACACCATGAAAAAGAAGAGCTGAAGTTCTTTTGCAAGAACTGCAAAGTCGCCATTTGCAACACTTGTGCCGTAACGCTTCATGAAGGTCATGGTAAGATGCCCTTGCAAGAAGCTACCGATGAGCGCAAAACACAAATCAACTCCATGATTCGATCTTTGAAAGACAAAGTATTGGAAACACAAAAGGAAGTCGAACAATTCAACCAAAAACGCATCGCAGTTCAATCGAAAGTAACCGAAGTAAAAAGCCAAGTGCAGTCTTGTGTAGATCAAATTATTGCAATCATCGAAGCGAGGAAACAAGATGTTTTTGATGCAGTCGATAATCAGGCGAAAAAATCACTGGAATCTCTCTCAGAGAAAAAAGACGAAGTGGAAAAACGAGTGAAACTAATTGAATCAGCAATTGAACAAACTGAAACTCTGTTGGAACGAAGATTCAGTACTGAAATCCTCGGATTCAGTGAAACATTTGATTCAGTCCTACAGGAACGGGGCACCCAACAAAACCGTGACACTGAATGTATTCCTCGGCTTAGTTTTACTAAAAGTGAAAAACTGATTAATTTGTTGACCAGTGAAGGAATAGGTAATTTAAAAACTGCTTTTAGCGAAACTAAGGTACAAGCAACTATAGGTAAAGAAAGCAGTAAAGTAATTGCTGGGAATAAAGCGACAAATGTTTGTGACAGTCCTTTTAAGGCTCAGGTACAAACCAGGCGCTTCAGATCTGTGCTGTCATTTGGACAAAAAGGTGAGTCTGTTGGAATGCTTTCGTGGCCCCGGGGGTTGGCAGTGAGTGATCAGGATGAAATTGCTGTGGCTAACTTTCTGAACCACAGGGTTTCAGTGTTTAGTAGTGACGGTACCCACTTAAGATCGTTTGGTAGAAATGGTAAAAAAAATGGTGAGTTTATATTCCCTACAGGGATCGCTGTCGATAATCACGGTAATATTGTAGTGGCAGACAAAAATAACCACAGGGTGCAAGTCTTTGATAGGAGTGGTAACTTTCTTAGAACGTTTGGTAAAGAAGGAAGTCTTGATCACCAGCTTAGTAACCCTGAAGGTTTATCAATAAACGGTAACGGTGATATTATTGTTGCTGATCAAGGTAACAAATTTATCAAGATATTCTCTTCTAGTGGGGAGTATTTACGTAAATTTGGTGGAGCAAGTACTTTTGTCAGTCCCTATCACTGTATCCAACACGGTCAATATTTTATAGTCTCAGACTGGGGGGATGATTCCATTAAAATATTTGATCTGGAGGGAACATTTATTTCTAAATTTGGAAAACAGGGAAACAAGGATGGTGAGTTCAATAAGCCCCGTTACTTGTCAGTTAACAAAGAAGGTTTGTTAATGGTCTGTGATGGAAATAATCACAGAGTTCAGGTTTTTGAACTTAATGGAACGCTTAATACAAAGTTTGGGAGTGAAGGTAGTCAGATAGGAGAGTTTAATGGTCCAAGGTCTATCGCAAATCTTAGTGATGGAAGAATAGTTGCATCTGACATGGAGAACAACCGAATCCAGATTTTTGACAAGGTATAATATGATCTTACCAGAGGTATTGTAATTGTTAAAAAGCGGTTCAAATTGATTACCTCGAACAAAGAGAACCGGAATTTTTCGATCAACACCATCTCGTGAGGTATTAACCACTGTTGTTTGTCTTTTCTGTGAATGTAACAATAAGTTATATAATCGTGGCTGCAATAATAGCTGTAATAAGAGCTAAACTGATGACATTCAAATAGTAAATATATTTTGATATCCCTTTTTCATATGTACTGTAGTCTCATGTAATTTCCGATTATAGTTAAAGATGATGATGGCCGCGTTTTTTTGAAGCTGGATAGTTTGCGTTATTTGTTGCCTTTTTGTGTCTTTAAATACTTTAGTTTTTTTTCGTGTAAGAGTTCCTGTGTAAGAGTTCCTGTTGTCTTTTATTTGAATATGTCAAAGAAAGTATTGACTTGTGTGCGTGTATGTGTGCGTGCGTGCGTGTTTGTGTTTTAATGAATAACAAAACTACAAAAGAATAAAGTCAATCTTGCTAAAGGGCCATGATTAGTTTCACTATAATGTGCCCTTCTCCATTGTTTCGTGAAAACAAGATGATCTCAGTTGAACCCTGAAAAATGCAACGCACTGTTTCTCCCGCGAAAGCCCAATGTTTGCTGAAGGTGCTGCCTTACCACTAGTTAATATAGTCAGAGAAATGTTTGGGTTAATATTGGACGATTCCCTGAATTTTGTAAAACACGTTACGAAAATTAGCACTGAAGAAAGTTGGAAAGCATCT